AGTAAACCAAAGCTGGCTTGTTTCAAGCCGGGAACAGATTTTGTCCCTATGTTTTCAATATCAGAAGCATTCAAGTTATCACAGCATGAAATAACAGGTTTTTAATACTGCAGTGGATTTTATGCTGTGGAAATTGCTACATGATGCAGTGGTGACATGTTTATATAGAACACTCATAGGAAGGATTATACAAATCATGAATGTCAGCAAAATGGAAAGCATCTGTTTAGGCTGTGAGATGCTGCTAAGGCTCTCTTGACTGCCAGTTTGTGATATGGTACACAGCCCAGTTGGAGTCACAACAGCAAATCAGCGAGACTTTCATGTCACTGCCTACTGCAGAAGTTAAGCAGTCTTCAGATCGTAGCTGCTAACATAAAACAAGCTCAGATCATCCGCATTCTGCACAGAGAGCAGGCAATCAATCTTATTTCAGATGTTTCAAGGGGCCAGTACTAGAGCCCCATTTTAGGTTTTATAGAAGCACACTGAGGCTTGATTAATGATCAAGGGATGAGGAAGAATTTCTGTCACACAATAAAAAAGACAAAACACCAAACAAAAACTCAGAAAGTACAGACACTTAACTACTGAAGCAATATTACATGGAAGATCCATGTCTTTATAAAAATCTTTTTACAGCTTTTTGGACGAAACGCCCTCCAAGAATAGTTAAAAGCCTACATAATGCTCCAGAGTATTAGATTTGCTTTTGGACCACCAGTTTAGCTGACATGGAAAAGACTAGCTGTATAAGACTTCACACATCTAGACACATTGTTCTATTTAAGTCAGCATTGACTTGCATCAAGAAAGTTGGCTTCAAATCAGCTGATTCAGATGATATCTTATGAATTAAGTACTATTACTTTTAATAGAAGTCCACCCACTGTTGGACAAGCCAACCTTTTCTGGGATTGTGAAGGGGAAGACAAGGAAAAAAGCTTTGCCAACAGCAAAAAATAAAAGAAAAAGCAAAGCAGGACACAGGATCTGCAGAAGTGTACATATGAACAGATCCTCAATTAAATATAAACAGCGTTGACTGCTCCTTAGAAGCTTAAGCCAAGATCAAGTTCCACAGTTCCGATCTAACTATAGCTTCTTGGAATAATTTTTTTTTAATTTTAAAGTCATTTCACACTGTAACATTTAGAGATGAATGAAACTTATGAAAACCCAATCATAGCAATACTGGACTTTAAGTTTAGTTTTCTATTACTGTAAGAGACTCAGAACACAGAGGGTGCTTTAAAAAGGTCTCTGAAACAATGTTATAAATAAGTGTATGACTTAGGCCTGAAGGAAGAACAGCTGGAGAATTTAGGATCCTCCTATATTTTAATTCATGGTGATGTCATAATTTAGAGTTCTTAGAAACTGTCAATTCGGCATTTAAACCACATCAATAACAGTCATTAAATCTAGTGCACGTCCCTGTTCGCTTAAGCATCAATTTAACTTCTATGAAGGGGAACACAGAGCTCTTAGTTGTAGGAAGTCATACAAGCTTTCTCAGAACTTTTCTAATTGCCCTAAAATGTACTTGCAGAGTTTGAAAGTGTTTCTAAACACGCTATCTTGTGTGCACTGAAGTTTACGCACTCTCTCTGCAAGTTTTACAATACATTGGAAAAAGACTGCTCTGCCATTAAGTGTTTCACAGTGCAGATTTGAAGGGGCTCCTTTAGGGTTATGAAACAGCATTTCACTTCCATGTTAAAAAAAGTTTGGTTTGGGAGGGCCTTCTAAGTTTTGAAGATGAGGGGTTTTACAAAATTTTATTATGAAAAGGTAAGACCAGCCAAAGAAGGCTTAAGTTAAAGTATATTTCAGATTGCTTAATCCTTTGATTGTTATGCAAGTGTATTTCATAACCTTACTTGAAGGACCAAAGAACAGTTTTAGTACTAACAATGGGCTCAGTCTGACAGCTAATGCTAACCCGAGTGTGCATCATGCCCTCCTTGAACACTCCAGTTTATGTAACTCCACACTACTGTGGGTTTAAAAATAAACCACACAGGAAAATAAGGTTTAGACAGACAAAAAGAGTAAGATCACACAGCTTGTTCTCCTTGATTAGCATCTGCTGGTTATGAGGACCATATCACACCAGAAACCATATTAAAGATTTTCTTACTTCTACTGGCAGCCCCCAGAGAAAGCTATGAGGACAAATACACAGGATTCCTGAAAAAGTGTTCTTGGCTTGATTTCTTGAGAAATCTTTTTCGCTTTTCCTCCCAGCCTTCAAAAGGAACAATTTGCCTCCAAGGCAATTCAAACAACATTTCCAGCAGGGGTTTTAAGCATTTTTTCCAGAAATGTGTAAGTTTGCTATTGTAACCATCACTAAAACAGCATCTTAAAGCTGCTAACATGCTGGCAGAAGACTATGGGAGGAAGGCTGAGAAGTCATTCATTAACAGTAACAACCTTTAAGCAGATTCAGAGGTTATGCTTGCAAAGGATTTCATATCCAGGGCTACAGAAAAGGGCACAAGACTTAGAGCTCTGGATTCTAGGAGGCTACAGTTGATTTAAAACAACTTGTTAATAATTTTAATACCCACCATTCCTGTTAAACAGAACAGTAAGTTAAAGATAAGAAACCCACAAACTGGTGAGCTTGCAAATGAAAGGAAGCAAGTGTAAAACTCAAAAGAGACAGGAGTAAAGCAACAGCAGTTAATTTCCCAAAATTAACTGTCGAAAAGGGCAGGAAAAAAAAGGAGTTTATAGTTACCCAAAAGTGTGCGTGACAGTTGACCATCATGGTCCTCTCAATAAGCTCATCAGGACACTCCAGAAGATGGTGCCCGGAGACCACACCAGCATTGTTAACCAGGACAGACACCTCGCCAACCTCCTTGCGGACCCTCTCAGCTGTTGAGTAGACATTTTCTCTTTTACCCACATCACAGGTGTACGTGTAAACCTGCAAGGTGCAATGGGGCAGCGCATCTTTTTCTCCATCTCCAGCTACTAAGGAACACAGATAAGAGAACGGGGAGGGGGGGGAGGAGGAATAAAGTTCTTACTTGTATTTTGACATTCAAACAAGTAGTCAAATGGAAACAGCAAATACATTTCCATTACGGCAAAACTTCCATTTACTTTGGCATCACCACAGTACACAAG